TTATATGTGATCATTGTGCTAACTCTTTCATCAAAATTATATATAACACACACACACAGATAATTTAGTGAGTGTTGCATAGTTATAAACCATTGACTCTTTCTATACATACTATAACTCTGAATTTACTAAGTGTATCTTCAGGAAAATGTGGCAAGCTTTTAATAAGCACTAAAGATAAACATTAAGTCTTTTGTATACAAAATAGCAGTTTTTTGATAAAGTGTTTTTACTAAATATTTGTCTGTGAATTTATAAAGCCTTTACTGAGTCAGTCTGAGTGAAAAGTGATTTTTATGCTGAGGATAATAATATTTATTTTCATCTTAATGTTTCATATTTCATTTGCATAACCTCTAGAAAAGTGGTTCCTAAATATGGGATCGCAGCAGGCTCTGGCAGGGTTGTGAGTTTTGTGGACAAAATCATATGTAGCAAACACAGTTGAATGGACTGGTTAAAATACATTTTCTAACAGATATAATCATGCATATTTAGAATGTCTGGAATGGGTTGAAAATAAAAAATGTTTGGAAGCCACTGCTCTAGACCCTCCTAAATGAATAACAAAAGTTTTTTTCTGATGAAATATCTTAGCTCTACTCACGAATAGCTTTTCTGGATTTATACTGCCCTTTATATGCACAAATTTTTGCTTTTGCCACTAGCCTTAATACTTGCAGCAACCTTCCACCAATAGAAGTGAGACACAACTCCCATTGTCACTAGCTCCCTCTCTTCTATGCAACCTGTAATCACTTCTCGTTTGGCAGTCTTACTGCTATGACTTGTTTTTGTTTATGTTTTCCTACTGATTGTTTTCATTCAATAGTTCAGTTGAATATCATTGAAGGCCTTGTATTTTTTTCCAGGTTTTTTTAAATCACTGTTTTGGAATTGTGATTGGAGCTTCAATTCTCCTTTTTCCTATACAAATCCACTCATCATGATTTTGCAATTCCATATTGCAACTACCACCTGCTACTGTGATTACTACAGCTGATCTTCCTGCCATTCAGTGGTGTCAAGGCAAGCTTTATTGGCTCAGGAAGTAACAGCTTTGGTTTGAAGGGAGTTGGTTACCTTTATGCAATCTTCTGTGTCTTCTGATGATTGTCCTCTCCTACCATGTGCAGGTATGCCTGAACATGGAGATGAGGATTTGGGCAGCCTGTTTCCTTCTCCTACCTCATGCCTCACAGTCGTGTTTCATTCAGGGAAAGTACCCAGACCTCCTTCCCCCTTTGTTGGCTTAATCAATCAGGTATGTTATAACTTTTCCTTGTTTCCTATGATTTCTCACCTGCCCTACTCAGTTAAGGGTTGGTAGAACAGCATCTAGTGTTTCCTCCCTCACTGGATATTGGGGCTCAGATGGGTTCCAGCTCTATTCGTGAGTCACTATGCAATGTGACCCACTGCATATTCTGGATGAACATGCTTTGGCATATCTTTGTTCTCTGTTTCCCTACTTCGACTTGCAGTGATTTGAGTTGCTTGTCCCTTTGTAGGGTTCGGACACCAGTAATTTCGGTTTTCATGGATTCAGTTCGGAATTTTCAATTTTCCACTCTGGCATGCCTCTACTCTTCCACCCTTTCCATGCACATGTGGCTCCTCTGTTATTGGGACCTGTTGGGTCAGGTGTGTTTGACTCCCTCCAGCTTCTGTGATTTGCGAATGACTTCTTTTCTGCACCAGGAGGTTTTGGGAGACATTTCTGACTTTTTTGTACACCAGAGTTGAATCTGTACTGTTGCATACCTCTCTTTTCTCCCACCCCTTACTGAACTTGTTTCTGTGTCTCACACTTCTCTTTCCTCTCCTTTACTTGTTTTGGCCACTCATATTCCTGAGGTTTGCTGTCAGTTCTTGGGACACTGTACTAGGGCAACAAATGGTCTTGATGACTACGTTGTGGGTTCAAGTCATGTGGGGGCCAGGCTCCTCTACTTTGCTCACATATGGAGGTTCTGAGGGTTGTCTCAGAGAGTCTAGGTATCATTTTTCGATTATTCTTCTCTGTTGTCTTAGCATCTAGTTTCCTTCTCTTCTCCTCAAGATCTCATATCCAGCCTGTGGCTTTCGGAGGCACTTCGGGACATGCTTTGCAAGG